AAAAATGTTGACATTTAAGACAGATACAGGATGACAATTCTAAATGAAAAGCAATTCAGAGCAGGTCTCCCACTACAATTACACACCATATTAAGGATAATGTGAAAATCTGCAAAACAGGCTTTTTTTTATACAAAAACTGTATTAAAAGCGAGGGAGTCGTCACCTGCGCATGCGTCAGATGGTCATAGCGTGTCATTGTTTACAAACAAGCGTCTACCCATGAGCCTTTTCGTTTTTAGCGTGTGTTGTTATCGCTGCTTGGGACTCAATTCCCACACATGCACAGGTGACGACCCTCCCGCTTTAAACCTAAAATTAAAAAAAATTGAAGATTCTATTTAGCTTTAAAATCAATCAGGCAGTTCAAGTCAAATTAAAATTTTCCTCAAATAAGCATGGTACCGCACATTTACCTCTACTATATAGACCATCGCACTTGTATACATTCTGCATGAGTCCACATGTAAAGTGACTGGTTGGCAAGAAGCAACTGTTTACACTTGAAGATAAAATCACTTTGCTTGCTGCTGTTCTTATACATGCACGTGTTTCTGTTAATAAAACAATTTATTTCACAGCAGATTTTGAGCCTGTGTTGATAAGTGAACATGTAAAAATGTAATCATATGATATCATAGTGCGACAGCCTATATAATGAATACCCCCCTCCCTTGGATTATTATTATTAGGATTCATATCAATAATATGACTTTTTCATCTTTCGTCTTTGAGCAAAATTTGATATATGAAGAAATAGTCTCACCATAGATACTAGTGTAAAAATATCAATTTGACAATTTTCCATAAAATTTCAGACTCAAAACATCATACGATGATTCAACTTTTTTTCCCATTTTGACATGTGACATGGAACCAATATAATAAAAGTTTGACTAACACACCGTGTAGGCATCACTTATATGATGAACCAAAACTGAAGTGAAATCAACCACACAGGTACTGACAACATTTCTAGAAAAATTTACCCACCCGAGTACTGTATATGACATTTTAATACACGCACAAAAGCTGGATTTATTCCAGTTTCCAGATCTGCTCCAGTAGAAGGAAACCACTAATAAAGACATATATGATTTTCGTCATTTTGCTACAGATACATATATGTTATTTATGTATTATAAAAGAACATGTGCTACTAATAGAGCAAATATGGTATATTTAATAAAACAGTTTAAAATAAAGCATGGCATTCCCTTTAAAAATAGTTTGGCATTTACTGGTATAATCATGGGTGTTTATATAACCCAGCTTATACAGGTACAATTTGTAATTGTGGTGTGAAACCTATATTAGGCTAACTTGCATGCATTATATACTGTTACTATTTACAGCTAAATAACTACAAGATTTGGAATGTTTATAAAATTACCATTTAGATGTTGGCATTGTTACAGTAAAGGCACCCTGTATTAAAAGTACTCTAAAAGTGGAGGGCAAGGCCCCTCTAAGTTATTTGCAATGATTATATGTCCCCTAAGTTGATTTCAGCTGCCTTCTATTCTAAATTCTTCTGCCAATAAAAATAAATCTAAGAATTCAATTATACTAGCTTATCTTTGCGAGAATGATACACGATGTTGTCAATTTCACAATCAGAACAAGGCTTTTTGACCTTGCTATAGAGAACCAATTGGCTCTGGTAATTCCTACTTTAATGGGAGCACCATTCAATCATCATCATCATCATCATCATCACCACGTATAAACGACCCCCTATATTCCAAAAACAATTATATACACAAATTCAACTCTAAATCAGGTAGTAAATAAGTACTGAAAGCATAATTTCGTTATATTTTGAAACAACTTTTCTGAAGAAAAAAAATGCACTAATTAGTGAACCAATTCACAAAACCAGAAGTAGTAAACATTATTTAAAAACTCACAATGAATAGCTATCATTGTAAACAGACGTGTAATTAAAACATTGACTGTATTCAGATCTGCAAGACGGCTACTGTTCATATCATGCCAGTATTAACCAATGAAATTACATGTTTTGTCAGTCAGTGTCACAATGATCATTCACTGCTTTGATTTAAAATATTCAGATTCCCAGATATTCAAATAAGGTTCTTAACATTGTTAGTATAATATTTTTTTTTTTATAAAAGTGTTAATAAGTTTTTATAAGATGGTAATCCTTAAAATTGAATTGGTTTATTAATATTTGATAATATTATAATTACATCCAATGTAATTGATAGTTATCATCTAAATTGATATTAAATTGCTTTGAAATATCTCACTGAGATAAAAAGATACAGGACAGACACTTTCCAGAATCTTAATCCCCCCAAAAATAACATCGGTTTTCCCTTTCTTTTTGATTTGAAATGTGATAATGCATACTAAGTGGAGTATACATGTCATGTGATTTGTCAGGTGACATAATACCGGTAATACATATTGCACTACATTTTATACAGTCAGTGTCATATTGTTTTATACACCACATCTCAAGACTGTTTAGAACTGATTAGATCAAACCATTTTCACAAATGATGTACATGCATTTAGTTAAATTTCATTGATAAGTTTACACAAATTGATGCAATAAATTGAAAGCGATATATATCTTCATTTGGTATTTTACGTGTCCTTCATTATTAGTTTTTTTCGTTATTTGTTGGACCAGTTCCAATCAGCTCAATGATCTCAAGACACACTCAGCAAAACAACCAGCAAAGATGAAAACTGTTTTTGTGTATGAAAAAAAATATGGCACTGACAGTAATGTCAAAATTCACTTTAAATAAATGATTATGGATCCGTTTTTTCAAGGCAGTGGATGATAATACTTTCTTATTTTAAGAAATTAAAACAGATGAAAAATTTCGAAAGCACCCTCAGTGACTGAAATAGGTGTATTCTAACGAAAGTGGCATGTCAACATTCTTATTAATATAAAAAATGATATCAAAAAATATGTAAAATATTTTTGTTCAAAAAAATTAAAAAAAATAGAAACTCAATTTCCTAATCAGAATGTAAATAATTTTGATATGCTTGTCTTCATCACAGGAAGATAACGATGTGTAAAATGGAAGACATGGCATATTCAAGGGATTGTATTTGGATGAATAAAGGAATATAATCAATAGGGAAAACGATTTTTTGATTGTATGGTGACAAAACTGATTATATAAGTTGTTGTTCATGGAATAACGCCTAATAAAACATGTTTTACATGCACAAGACAACACGTATAGTCAGTGATAACACTCTGATCTAGTCACTAAACAAAGTTTTCAAGTCGTAGTTTAGGATCTCTTATAATACTTTATCTAATTGCTGACCTTGCCACTAATGTGAACTTATTCCAGACCTACCGCTAGTCTATAATGAAAACTGTCACCTAGTCTGTTTTATAATGAAATACTGACCTCATTGCTGACTTTGTTGAGACAATGACCTTATCCTGACCTAGTTTATAATGAAACTGTCACCTAGTCTGGTTTCTAATGAAATACTGACCTCATTGCTGACCTTGTCTGACACAATGACCTTATCCTGATCTACGGGTAGTCTATAATATGCACTTGACCTAATTTCTGACCCAATCAACAGTAGACATGTTGATCTCAATAAATTAATCCTCGATACTTTGTCCTCTTACTGCCCTTGAATGATACTGTGACCTGGCATGACATGTGACCTCACTGGTGACCTTACTGGTCTGGTATGACCTCTGACCTACTCTATAATATATACTTTGACCTAATTTCTGAATAAATCCCCAATAGACACATCATTAATGAACGAGTCTGATACATTAAACTCATTGCTACCGATGTATTGCATGATTTGTATATTAGTCACTACAAATTTGATTTGATAATTGCACTTTGACCTAACTGATAAGACTGATATCACTAATAACATTTAATCTCACCATTCCTGGTCTAGTCAATGACATTTTATGTCCTATTTTTTTTCATGAAGTTTATATTATGATCTTTGATCGTACCTCATACAGAGATCAAAAATCAATAATTCCAAAAGTTATGTAATCAACTAAAGAAAAATAATTTGTGGTAAGTTAATTAACTATTCATATTGTTCATAGCGATGTTTCAAATTCAGCACCTTACAACTGTTTTCGTTAAACTGGTAAGACACACAATTTAGATTGCGAGATAAAAATGGGGAGGATTTAAACAAATAATTGTCAGAAGATAAAGACATCGTAATTTTTAACACCGTTAGAAATCAGTTGAGAAAGTGTTAATTAACTATATTAATTTTATACTGGTGTCCACCAGTGTTGGAATGTTCAGTTTAGTCCAAGTATGGACACCATAATTTGGCAAGGGAGAAAGACAAATACCGGTAGATGTACTCATTAAAAAAAGTGAGAGTATACATACACATAGCAAAGTAGAAATTCTCCATCATTCTACTCCATGCATACATCAGAGAAACAATTACAAGAATCTTTCCTTTTAGAAAACTAATTATTGACTCTTCACTTCAGAAAAGTCTGAAGACATTAAAGAACAATTTACAATGAATTAATTATAATTTAAACAGACTGGAACAAGAGGATGAAACCCTAAAAAAATATCTCATCGCAGTTTGATACTCAAATCCTTGATTAAAAAAAAAAGATTTCACAGCACAGTTTTTTTTTTATTTAGTACTTATGCAAATTTATGCAAATAGTTACGTTGTGCCAATCATGGAAGCTCAATGGTTTTGTGCATCCTGATTAGATAAAACAATAACAATCTGCATAAATCTGTGTTAATATAATTAAGATGGAGATTGGCATATCAATTAAGGCACATTTAATACTACCATATTAAACAAATATGTTTCTATATTGAAAAAAAATAGATATTTCTATAATGATTTAGCTAGAAAGATTCTGCTTTGAATTGAAAATATGATACTGAACAGAACTGATTTCCATCATAAAATTATATAAAAAAAAATGTGTTACAACTATTGTTGCTAGGATACTAAGAAGTCCTTTATGGACTATCAAGAGTCGTATACATCTCATCATCAGAACGATCATCCCCGACTGCACATTCATAAACTGCATCTTCAGACTCATCACAAACATCCTTTTTTTTTTCTTCCCTGGTGCCATTCTCTATTTTTTTTTCCTCTTGGGTGCTCATAGCTTCATCATACACATCATCATTTACACTGTCTGTATCTTTGAGTGAGAGACTTAGATCACTTGTCATTGAACTCAAAGAGCTTTTTGATGAGCTGGTACTGTATGGGAAAAAGAATAGGGAAGATCTAATATGTATTCATTATTTTTTGAACCTCAATTTTTTTTTTCGGATTCAACTACATGTGCTTGCACCATATTTAAATTGGTTGTGACTTGTAATACTGTAGAATACTTTATTTTCGCTTGGAATTTATTTTCGCTATTTTCGCTGAAGGGATGATTCTGTGAAAATATAATCCAGGAATATACTTTTTTTCCTATATTTCACATTAAACTCATCAAAAATCAGAGAAAATAAATTCCATACAAAACGCCCAAAAAGCCTTTTCGGTGAAAATTAATTCCAACGAAAATAAAGTATTTCACAGTATACCAAGAGGGTGACAGAACCAGGAAACACATTTTCACCCCCTGAATAGTGTTGTATTCTCCCTAATCACCACATCCTATGTTTCAATTATCATGGTTAGATAGATTATAGAGCAGCATCGATTGGCATGTGATAAGATTTCAGTAAACTAGTGCCAAAAACACTTTCTATGAATAAAAAAAAAAAAGATGTCTGTTAATATTCCTCTCTACCTGTTTATTGATTTCCTTGGCGGCTTCTTTGGGAGTGGTTTTACACAGGTTGGCAGATCACTTAATGATATATCTCCATCAGTTTTGCGTCTCCGGCGTGCCATTATTAATAACAGCTCAGACTGCTCAGTCGATGTGTTTGAAAGCGATTTACCACATGTCTCATTCACCATTTTCTTTCTCTTCAGATTACCCTGCAAAACAGCCCGAGTAAGTGTACACATCAATTATAACACTTTTAAGCTTTATCTCATTCTAGAGTCTACTTCAGAATCTGACAACATGTCAAGTAGAGCTGGAGCACAATCCACACTCAATTAAAGTGGCAGCGAATTCAACAGATAAGATTTTTTGAAAGCTAAAACAACAGTTTCAATATTTTTGCACAACTCCCCATGGCTGAGGGGGAGAGCATCAGAACTGAAACTCTTAAACAAAGCCATTTAATCAAGGACCAGCAAAACAAGTAACTTGACATGAAAACTGCAGTGCACTTTACAGCTACAACAGTTTATAGATTTCTACTTTTTCATACTACTGTAAAATATTTTATTTTCGCTTGGAATTTCGCTGCAGGAATAATTCAGTGAAAATAAAATCCAGCGAATATAACTTTTTTCCTATTACATTCAACTCATCAAAAATCAGTGAAAACAAGTCATTGAAAGTGACACAGTCCCCGTTAAATTTTTAAAAGTTCTCTTTGTGCTCGTCATATTAAAGCGGAGGGGTTGTCGCGTGTGGAGTTCCAAGTGGCGTATACAACAGATTGTTTATTTACATCAAAACACGTGTTCCATGTAGTAGTAATATGGCCAAAAATAAAAACAGCCGTTATTCGGCCATCTTTGATCTGATTATGAAACACACTGATATGTATGATGTATGTGCCAAATACAAATGAAAATGGTACATAAATTGTGGAAATATTAATAGTAGTAAGGCCAAAAAGTCAGATGGCTGTCAATCAGATTTTGAAACAAATTGTCATGGACATGCATCCTAACATGTATAAAGTACATTTTTTGTACATGTACGTGCCAAATTTGAATGAAAACTGACAGAGCATGTCAAAGATACCGCATAAAAAAAACATAAACAAGATGCCTGCCGGTCGACCATCTATGATCCAATTGTGAAATAAATCGTCATGGACATGTATCCTAACATGTATAATCTATGTACCAAGTTTGAATGAAAACTGACAAAGCATGTCCAAAATACAACATTTTCAAAAAACAAGATGGCTGCCAGTCGGCCATCTTTGATTCAATTGTGAAATAAATCGTCATGGACATGTATCCTAACATGTATAAACTATGTACCAAGTTTGAATGAAAACTGACAAAGAATGTCCAAAATAAGACATTTTCAAAAAAAAAGATGGCTGCCAGTCGGCCATCTTTGATCCAATTGTGAAATAAATCGTCATGGACATGTATCCTAACATGTATAATCTATTTACCAAGTTTGAGTGAAAACTGACAAAGCATGTCTAAAATACAACATTTTCAAAAAGCAAGATGGCTGCCAGTCAGCCATTTTGAATCGAATCGCTCAACCACTGCATGTGCATATGTTCCACATAAAGTACTAGGCACATGCAAAGAATGAACAGAATCGGTCCAAGGGATTCTGAAATATGACTCCAGACGGATGCACGGACGCATGGACGCACAAACGAACGGAGACCGAATTATAAGTCCCTGTTTTCGGACTTCGTCCGAACGGGGACTAATAAATTTCATACAAAACACCCAAAATGTCTTTTCAGCGAAAATTAATTCCAGCTTAAATAAAGTATCTTACAGTATGTCTATTGTAATTACAATATTAGCAGTGGGTCATGGTATCTACTTTTATTCTATTTTTCACAATGGTCAAGTTAAACATATTGTGTTGAAAAAACAAGAATAGAAAGAATGGCCCACAATACAATTTTGATTTTACTTTTGTGAGACATTGTCACATTTATCAAAACAAGCAGCCTATCGGCTGAGATAGCTCCGCTGTTAGAAATGCACATTTCAATTAAAGAACTGAAGACATCATCAGAAAATGAACAATATGTATAGTATCAAAGCAATCGGACTTACAGTTTTTAACAAGAAGTCGAAAATATCACTTTCTACCAAAAATGACCAAAATATTCACCAAAATTAGAGAATTGAAGATATCATCATGAAATGAACAAATCTGAGAAAGGTCTACATGTAGTATCTATATATGTAATATCAAAGCAATTGAACTTTTGGTTTTTAACAAGAAGTCGAAAATATCACTTTTTACCAAATATGACAAAAATATTCACCAAAATTATAGAATCCAAGATATCATCACGAAATGAACAAATCTGGAAAGGTCTACATGTAGTATCTAAATATGTAATATCAAAGCAATTGAACTATTGGTTTTTAACAAAAAGTCGAAAATATCACTTTTTACCAAAAATTACAAAAATATTCACGAAAATTAGAGAATTGAAGACATCATCACAAAATGAACAAATCTGAGAGAGGTCCACATGTAGTACCTATATATGTAATATCAAAGCAATCGGACTTGTGGTTTTTAACAAGAAGTCGAAAATATCACTTTTTACCAAAAATTACAAAAATATTCACCAAAATTAAGAGAATTGAAGATATCATCACAAAATGAACAAATCTGAGAGAAGTCCACAT